TTTTGTTTTGGTTTGGTTTTTTTTTTCCTTTTAATTTTTTTTTTTTTTTTTAAATTTCTGATTACAGTTTTTAGTGCGACTGATGTCTTGATGCAAGTTTAGCGTCATTTTTGCCTTCACATTTGAAAAAAAAATAAACATGGAAGGAGTTCCAACATTGCAGCAGTTTTCAACCTTCACCCTTATTGAAGGCATAATCAGTGAAAAATCTCCATGTCCATCCATGAACCTGCAATGGCAGAATTTGATCAGAAGACTGGACCAAGGCTCATGGGGAGAGTCAAGTCAGTGTCTACTTGACAGAATAATCGATCTTTACAGCCACAAAGTAACATCAATGTAAGAATCCAATTAATTTATTACAAAAAAAGTAGTAGGTAAAGATAACATAAGTAGGTGACATAATCACGAAGTAGAGACTCTACTTGAGGGCGTCTGTGGCCATCCCAGGGTGGTAATGGGTGTTTTAGGTATGTGAAAATGTATCCATCCCTGCATATAGAAAGTTTGGCTGCAGGTTATTTGAGAGCAGCACCACAAACTGACCAGGTATTGTGAGGGCAGCACCACCAGCCGACGAGGTGATATGAGAGCAGCACCACCAGCCGATCAGGTGATGTGAGAGCAGCACCACCAGCCGACCAGGTGATGTGAGAGCAGCACCACCAGCCGACCAGGTGGTGTGAGAGCAGCACCACCAGCCGACCATGTGAAGTGAGAGCAGCACCACCAGCAATCCAGGTATTGTGAGAACAGCGCCACCAGCCGACCAGGTATTGTAAGAGCAGCGCCATCAGCCGACCAGATGATGTGAGAGCAGCACCACCAGCCGACCATGTGAAGTGAGAGCAGCGCCACCAGCCGACCAGGTGACGTGAGAGCAGCGGCACCAGCCGACCAGGTGACGTGAGAGCAGCACCACCAGCCGACCAGGTGATTTGAGAGCAGCACCACCAGCGAGCCAAGTGACGTGAGAGCATCGCCACCAGCCAACTTGGTGTTCCTTAATTGCATCCGTCTCACTTGCCTAGTCTATTGGGTGGTGGGTGGGTGGGGCTGTCTCATGGGCTCAATTCAACCCCGACGTTTCACTTTAAGGCCAAACTGGAATAAAGAATTTTTGGGGACTGTGATGAAGGCCTGTTGGAAGGGGGGAGTTCGTTGGGGATGCTTGAATGAGTTCTTACTCGATAACTTGCTTTTTTCCCTTTAAGATAGGTAGTCAGCAGCTCAAGCAGGACGGCTTAATATGACTTATAGGTAAATGTTTATTTATTTATTTTTTTTAACAGAATCCTTGAAGCGCTTTTACCCGCAAACTGTAAAATACTGAATCTGAAAAAATGTCACCATGTGACCGAAGAGTGTATCAACAGAATGGTGAAAAGGTTAGACATGTTTTAAGTGAGCGAATCTAAACGTGATCCGGTGACCTGGTTGTAATCGCCACTGCGTCGTATTTTAAACGCGTTGGCTAGGGATGAACTAAGGGGGGAAGAAACAACAACAACAGTTTAAGACTCAAGTCAGCTGGTCACCACTTGTCATGATTGTTGTGTTCCCCTTCATTGGTTCATTCTAATCTTCTCCGCCCCGACCCTGTTACAACCACTCGCACTGTCCTCACTTTTTCTAGCTTTCGTCCCCTAATTCCTACGTAAACTCTAATGCTACCACCAGGAAGTAGGAGAAGAAGGTATGCGGAAGCTAAATTTATAAATACAGGGCAATACCAAGAGAAACTTTTGGGTAAATACCTTGTTGAGCAAGACTTAAAAAAAGAAAAGAAACACTAAGGAATAGAAAAATACTTCAACATCTTAAGAGTTCACCATAAACGCTATGTTACTATTGTAAGTTGGGTTTTCCAAAAAACAAAAAACAAAAAAAACAAACAAAACAAACCAATCACATACCAAATGAGTATGGCATTCGGCTTGCTGCCTGCTCGGATACTGAATTGCCTCTAAGTCTTTATTTTTATTTATTTATTGTTTTCATTTTGTTTGTTCATCGAGGAAGACTTCTTTCCGACAAATTCGTTTAAACTTTAACAATTATTTTTTTCCTATTTACAGATTTTCTCAATATTTCTTCACTTTTTTTACCATTACTTGAAAAAAAAATCTTTTTGACTTCAGATTAAATCTATATTTCATGAATTAATTATATCTATTTCTTTAATTTACTTTTTTTTTGCGTAGAAATTGTATAATTGTACTGAGATTTTGTTAATTGCATATTTTATTTTCAGATCTGGCGATCTCAAGATCTTGAATCTCAGCAAAATGGCCAACTTGAAAGTAAATCAATTGGATTTATTTTCATTTCAATCTGATATGATTAACTTAAAACTCACTACAGTGATCCTAGAAGGCTGCCAAGAAGTCAGCGATGGTAACATAAAGGTATTCTTTAAAAAAAAATTTCATCACCAAAATTATCTCTTTTTTTTAGTTACAATAATGTAGGAAAGTAATATTGTTTCGTTAAATGTAAATATCTTTTCCAGGGTTACTAAAGGTATTTTTTTCGTCTTTCATTTGTAGGCTTATTTAACATGTTCAATAATAGCAATAATTATTTCGAAAAGTGACTGCTTCACTCCTCTTCACGCAAAAAAAACCACCTCCATTCATCAAGAAAAATGAGAAGGTCTTAAATTTTAAATACAATTTTAAAAAAAATTATTTTCAAGGGCTGATCAATTTTAAACATATTTTCCAAGTGTTAATATAATTAGTAAAACATATTAGTTCTAAACATATTTTCAGGCTTTGCTGGCTAATGCTCCTTTGTTGGTTTCACTGAATGTCGCGAACTGTAACATTTCAGACAATGCCTTCTTTTTGAATGGGGTGAGCAAACTAAAAAGAGTAATTAGTTTTAAATTAACTAAATTATTATTTATTTTCTTACAAATTTGAATATTTCCATAACCAATCAAATAAATGATAAATCAAATAATTTTCAATATTCTAATCACAAACAAAACGCAAAACCACACCGTTTGTTTGTGAAGCGAGTGCTAGACGGTAGTGCCATGTCATGTTGTCTGATGAAATCCGACTTCTAATGACATGTCGTGTTCTCTGATGACAACCCACTTATAATGCCATGTCATGTTGTCTGATGACATACCTTTTCTTATTAAATTTCATGTTGGCTGATGACCTCCCACTTATAATGCCATGTCATGTTGGCTGATGACGACCCACTTATAAATCCACGTCATGTTTTCTGATGACACATCACTTATAATTCCATGTCATTGTGTCCGATGACATCCCACTTCTAATGCTATCTTATATGTTGTCCGATGGCATCCCACTTCTAAATCCATGTCCTGTCGGCTGATGCCATCCCACTTCTAACGCTATGTCATGTTGTCTGATGAGATCTCACTTACAATGTCATGCCATTTCGGCTGGTGACGTCCCACTTACAATGCCATGTCGTGTTTGCTGATGACGTCCCACTGCATTAGTTCAGACTAAAGCTCTACCCATTTGACCAAAACATGTCACACCTTGTGTGTATTTGACACCAACACAAAGTAGTCATTAGGCAGATACAACCACCAGACAATAAAGCAGCTTGTAACTTCCTAACTTATCTGCACACCCACTCGTATCAGGTTGTTTTTTTGTTTTTTTGAACACACAACATTAAGAAAGATATTAATTGAAGAATGTGTATTACTGTTTCATTATAATTTTCAGGGATACAATTTCGTTCTCCCCAGATCCCGAATTTCGTCGAAGAGGTTCAAATCAAACTGCAGTACGTCAACGTGAGTGGCTGCGTAGCATTTTCCAGCCAAGGAGTCCATCACTTATGTTCATTATGTGGACAGACTCTGCAGTCCATAAATCTCATAATGACAAATGTAACGAGAATACATTTATTTTCTAGACAGTTATCGAAACTTGTTTTTTTACATATAATATGTTAACTCACGTTCAGACAGTTATATATATATATATATAATATGAATATATATATATATTTCTGATTGCTTCAAAGAATCTTAAATTGAAAACTTGGGTGTAGATAATCAATGATTGGTCCAACCACTTTTGTGTTATGGGTGTAGACAATCAATGATTGGTCCAACCACGTTTGTGTTAATATTTTTTTTTCTCAAAATGTTTAGCTATTTAAAGATTCTAGAGGCCCACTTCTTTAACCCCAAAATGTTTCTGTGGTCACCCATGATTCCATCCCAATTCATCACGTGATTGCTTTCACAGTCTGATTTTCTTAGCCAGGCAAAAACAAAATTTAAAAAAAATTGGTTCCTTGCCTTTCTGTGCGTTTCCACTCTGTTCTGTCTTGTATTGGCACCGTGACATACATTACGCTGAAACATCTCAAGCGTAGCCGCCATTGGACTGTAAAGTCCAGTTATTTTTTTTTCTTATCGTTTTAATATCTGGCATTAGTAACTGCTCTGCCAGTTTTGTTAATAACAAATGTCAGGTCACCGGGTTTTCCTGATTTTTATTTGGGTAACAGGTTTCTTCTGTTGTCATAGACTGGAATTCATGTCGATTAAAAAAAAAAGACCCCCGTTTGAAAGAGTTGCCTTTTGATTTACGAAATCAATGCCAACTTTGGTATCAGTGTATTGAAGAATGATATGTCACTTGTTACCTTTTCTATCTTACCTTACCCTGATTTGGCTTGTTATTCAAATTTCTTGATTCAGTCATATTTATTTAACAAAGTATTGTAAATCAGGAAAAAAAGTCTGGGCTGCTAAAGACTGAGGTGTTTAAATCCCCATATTTTTTATGTTGCTTTATATATATATATATAT